GGTATTGGGAAGGGCATGTTCTGCATGGAGCACTGGGTGTTATGCACAAACAATGAATCATGGAACACTACATCAAAAACTAATGATGTAATGTATGGTGATTAATATAACAATAAATAATTTAAAAAAAGGGAAATAGAAGCCCTATAGATAGATACTGCTAAATAACAGGAATCAACTATATTCCATATCTGCCATTGGGTTTGATTTAGAATTTCTGGTTTCTACCCACAGCCTGTAAGATGTCATTTTAAGAGAGATGCTAAGGTCAAGAGTCCTCCTCCCACTTCCTCCTTCCTCCACTCTGACCTGGTCAGTTGTCCAAGTACCATTTGTGTCTCCTAACAGAGATTTGCAGGAATCATATGGTTGTCAGACAGCTGTCTCTACAGGCAGAAAATATTTCTGTTTTATTCGTCACTACAGGGCAGGAAGAGTGAGAAAAAATGAGTCTTATTATTGAACTCCTTTATGCTGTCTTGTTCTCCTCTCTCCCCATGACACATACTTGCTCAGGAACAGCATAAGCAACTAAGATTTAAAAAAAAAAAAAAAAGGAAAATCACAGTCAAACCATAAATGCTGCTATTTGTAATCAGTGTATAACCTCTGTGATGAAATTTGTGAGTAATTCACTTTCCACTTAAGCCTACCAATATGAGATCTAATGTTGCCACCCTGAACACTAATGAAGGAAGTCAGACGGCAGAACAGCTAGCCCTCAGGGACTCATTTCTCACACCACCAAAAAGTAATTTCCTTCATTTTCAGCCATCTGGTAGCCTGGATTGTGAAGATGAAGCTTCATTTAAGTATTGCTTAAGAGTGTGGGCCCTGGAGTCTTCTTGGATTCGAATCTGTTTTCTGCTTCTCACCTTGCTCCATCTATACCTCAGTTTCCCACCTATAAATAAAATCCTCATAGGATATCATTTCTTTATTATAAGGAGTTACTGATATAATACTTATAAAGTACTCTACATAGGATCTTACATATGGTAAGTGCCTAAAGTTAGCCATTATTAAATTGTTAATAATAGTGGCAGTGAGGGGCACCTGGGTGGCTCCAGTAGGTTAAGTGACCAACTCTTGGTTTCGTCTCAAGTCATGATCTCAGGGTCATGAGATTGAGTCCCACAGGGGGGTTCCTCCTCAACAGGAAGTCTGCTTGAGATTCTCTCTCCTTCTCCCTCTTCCCCCCCACCCCTCCCCCTGCTCGCACATTCACTCCCTCTCTCTCAAATAAATATAAAATCTTTAAAAAAATAATAGTGGTGGTTAAAGTATTAGGAGTAGTAGTATTATTTTTGTGATGTCTGTGACATAGGTCTTATTAATTCAGTTTTTAAGCTCTAAAGTGTATCATCTAGTCTGTCACATAGCAAGGTGATATTTAGAGCCTTTCTATTAGGATTTACAGATGGTAGCCTTATGTGGCTAGATTATAAGTAAACAGGTATTACCACATCTTAAGAACACAATTATTCAACTCATACAAAATAACAGTGTTTTTCTTTTCCTGGCATTTGGAGGAAAGATTGGACTGTAGTCCTTTTATATACATAAGAAAATAAATATAGATACCATGTAGTGATAAGAAAAATGTATTAATATATATAACTCTGAATGCTCTCTAATATCCAGATAAGGTCTATCCTAATGAGAAAAGAGCTAAGACATTTTCATTATACTCCTCTGTGAAATTCCTACACTACTTGGTCATAGAGGAGAGATTCTCTTTATAGTAAGACCATGCTTTTTATCTGCCAAGTCTGTAAGGAGGTCCTAAGCAGTCTGGCTTCTTAATACAAAACTTCAAATGGTTTAAGTCACAAAAGAATTTAGCTAAGATTTGCTATTTCCAGTGACATGGACCAATGCTGCAAAGCTGGTTTTATGGGCATGGTTACATATTCCATTTGCTTTTGTCTTTACAGTTCCACCAAAGATCTCCAACATCTCTTCGGATGTCACTGTGAATGAGGGCAGCAATGTAACCCTGGTCTGCATGGCCAATGGCCGTCCTGAACCTGTGATCACCTGGAGACACCTTACGCCAACTGGTAAGCAACCACCTAGTCTTCAAAATACCACACATCATTTAAGATATCTTCATGCTTTTGGATCAGAAAGGCAAACCTGTATCTGGTTATTAAAACACTAATACAATTGCAACTTAGGACTTACCTTGGTTCTCCCTGGTCTTTGCTAATATGTTCATCTCTATAAAGTCTACAACCAGTTCTTATTTCATTTTCAAATAGAACATCACCTCAAGGCAACAAATACAGAAGAATTAAATGCATTAAATGACCTAGTATTATGTCTAAAATGTATGCCAGTTTTGTGCTTGAGTGTCCTGGAGTAGTGTTTTGTATGAATTAAATTTACCTAGTTCTTTGTATTTTTTTTTTTGGTTTGGTTTGCTTTGCTTTTTAACTATAGTTTCCTAATATGTAGCACCTTGTGAAGAAACCTTTCAGGAATAATACAAAATTGTTAGTGACTTCTGATGGCCTTGGTATCTGGCTCTGTGGAGGGTCATCAGGCATGGACTAAGCTGCATGAGCTCATGATGGGTCCCTAGCTATTGATACAAATTCATTACAAGTCAGAAAATCCTTTACCAGGAATGTCTTCTGCATCCTCCCTTCCCCCTTCTCAGCACCACCACCATAACTGAATTCTCAGGCCCTGCTGCTTTTTGAACTTCACTGAAATATTGTTATCAAATTACTTGGGTTGACTGCCTACATGCTCTCCTGCTCTACAGATTACATTTTCTTATAAGCAACACCATGCTTTTACAAATGGCATAGTCTTTGTAGAATAAGGCCCGCTATGGGGCGCCTGGGTGGCTCAGTCGTTAAGCGTCTGCCTTCGGCTCAGGTCTTGATCCCAGGGTCCTGGGATCGAGCCCCACATCGGGCTCCCTGCTCCGCGGGAAGCCTGCTTCTCCCTCTCCCACTCCTCCTGCTTGTGTTCCCTCTCTCGCTGTCTCTCTATCTGTTAGATAAATAAATAAAATCTTTAAAAAAAAAAAAAAAGAATAAGGCCCGCTATTTGATTTCTCAGAAAGAAAGGTTGTGGACCAATTATTCTTATAAAATGTAATTTATCTTGGTAGATAGCCCTCAATTTTTAATTGATTTATATATGATATTATCTTAAAATTGCCTTATAGAAGGATTTATAGATTTGATTAACAATATAGTCATTTTGGAATGAACACCATACAAAATTGTTATGCAAAGTGAGACATATATGGAAGTTATCCTGGAGTATTTCTAAAAAGCCAAGGTAGCGTTTGCTTAAAAATCTTTAAAATCTGTATTTTATGGTTGAGAATAGGGGCCTTCATGTCATGTTAGCTCTCAAATTAATTTTTCAGGTGAATTTGGACCAGCCTATAGAATGGTCTCTTATTTTGGCAGCTACTCTTATTAAAGGCTTCTATTTTCTTAAGAGAGTGTCTCTCAGAACCCATCCTAATTTTTAATGCATGCAACTTGTCATTTATTGACAATATATAAGAGCAATAAATGAGGCACTTATTTGGAAGATCAATCTCAAACTCATTTCCTCTCAGAGCCGTTTTATACTTCACATGGAAAAAAATTGCATATGGAAGATTGTCTGAAGTGTGAACCTCTGGATATCACACACCTTTCCCATGGGTTAAATTAAACATCCAGAGCACATTCTGCCTGGATGGAATTATATTATCCCCCAATCCCACACCTACTCCTTTCCAATGTAGAATTGTTTTTACTGAATGACTGGTATAAAAGCTATTGGCCCATATTTAAAGATGTTATAAAAATATCCTTTAAAATCATTGCATTTACTATAATGTTTTGAGAGATTGTTAATTTTATTACAGTTTCCTTTTAAAAATACCTTTTGAGAAAATTCCTCTTTGTTTTCAGTATTTCTACTGCCCTTTTTCTAAGCAATGGTTTGGTTTTTTATGAATGAACTCAGTGAATTTTTATAAATGATTATGACTCCATGGAATTCACTATTACCTTAGAGCCAAATTTATTGCCCATTTGTAAAAGAATGTAGGAAATCAAATATAAAATACACATTAATAAAATGGATTTTAAACATTTAAACTCTGTGTCATTTTATGGCATCAAATTCATATAGAGACTATGCTCTTGCTTTCCTCTTGTTTTCTTGCTATTATTTTTTATGTTGTCTCACCTTTTCTAATTAATTTAAGCATCTATATAAATATATTATTTATAATCTCTTATTTCTTTTGTGGAACAAGTGGTAGAGAGAAGAAGGGAAGAAGGAAGGAAGATAGATTATAGTCAATTTATAAACAAGGAATGAATTAAATTAATAAAAAGACTGTTCCTTTTGGTATACTACTATTAAGTAGTTGGGTTTTTTAAATTTTTTATTATTATTATTTTTTTTATTTTCAGGGAGAAATGCTATTAATGACCTGTACCTAAAGATATATTCTTTATTATCCTTTGGGTTCAGAAAAATAATAAGATAGAATCACAGTTTCAAGATTTTTCCAGGCTGGACCTAGGAGTTTAGATCTCCATAGCTAACTTTTTAATGATAATGAATATCTGATTTGAATCCTGAATAACCTGGTATCCATGGTGTTTTAAAGTCAACAAGAGACCGTATCTTCCGGAGTAAAGGTAGCATTTACATACTCAGAGAATGCCAGACACTTCAAAATCAACTTGAAAAATCAGTATACTCACAGGGATTTCTAATAGGAAGCCCAGGGGGTCAGCAAACTACAGTCTGTGGGCCAAATCCAGCCTGTCCCACTTTTGTACTGCCCACAAGCTAAAAGTGGTTCTTAAATGATTAAGTGGTTGGAAAAATCAAAAGAAGAATTTTATTTTTTGACATGCAAAAAATTTGATGTTCATATTTGAGTGTCCATAAATAAAGTTTTATTGAAACACACCCATACTTATTCATTTTTGTGTTGTCTATGGCTGCTTTTGTTCTAAAACAGGAGAGTTTAGTAGTTGCAACAAAGATGGCTTGGCTCACAAGACCTAAAATATTTTCTATCTGGCCCTTTAGAAAAGTTTACAGACCATTGCTCAAGACTATGGCTTGGGGCACAGATAAGGATTTTCTGCACTCATCTATGACCCCACGAGGCTCTGGGGATATCTTCCATTAAGTTCCTAAATACATCTCAAGGGAAAGAACTTTATTCTTCTATAATCCTCTAGCTAGGCCCTCTCTGTGGGTCAAATTCTATTCTGTCACATGCAAAACTAGCTCCATGCTGCATTCACAAACTCAAGGGCAAACTCTAATTTGCCTTCCAAAAGGTATTAATTCCCAGGCCCATTCTTTCTTCTCTTTCGCATCTGACCTAAATAACCACCTGATCATAATCACATTCCTGGTAACAGGAGAGAAAATTTGCCTTTACTGTTCTATAAGGGAAACTAGGTTTATCGTGGAGGTTTTGTGGTTTTTTTTGGTCTTACGTGGGTTTTTTCCCTTCTTTTCCAAATTTGGAAACAGGCAGTGATCCTTTTCAGTCTATAACATGAAATCTTTCTTGGAGGCACTCAAGGAGGAGACTCTGCTCCCTGTGTGACAGCAAAACTGTCTGCAACCCATGGCCATGTGAGCAAAAACACCCAGCTAGCTTTGTTCAATTATTAATTGTGCCTTCAACAGTATAGAGTGTGACTGCCTTGCAGAGGAAATGTACCTCTAATTAGCTTGACCCCACAGGGGCATGGAGTCATGAAAGGGGGAAGATTCTATGCAGGGTTCACACGTACCCGATTACCTGTCATTTGATGACAAGGGGGGAAAAAGGAAAGAGGGTGCAAGGTGTATTTTTATAAGAAGAATATTTACTATCTCTTAATTTGGTTTTTAAAAAAAAATTGGTTGTGCCATTTTGTTTCTATTTTGACATTTGAAATTTATTTTTCAAATATATTGCAAGAGTTTTTAAAGAGGAAAGTTTTAATAATGGTAAATCTTTTCATATATACATAATCAAAACATACACCTGACTTAGGAGGAAAAGAGATTGATGAATTCCATGGTTGCTTTTCTTATATTTCTGATTTCTTAATTTTTCTCTTCTCTCCAGTTATTCTGTATAGTCAAAATGATATGTCACATATGTGGTTGTTAAATGTGACCTATTTTCTCCCTTAATTAAGTTAGACTTTCATAATCCTGTAACTCCCAGAGGGCAATTGCACCGTAACATGTATTTTCTATGGAGTGTTTGATCTCCCTTCTGTGAGCAATGCTGCTCCTATCTTCATTTAACTTTGTTTCTCCATCTTTCTTTTCACATGCCAGAGGAAGTCCCTTTCTCAAGTGTGCCTCACATAGTATCAGGATTGCCCAGGGTTACAGAAGGAGTTTCTATGCATCTTGTTTCTACAAAGGTTTTTTGCATCCTCAGTAGCTTTCTATACCTGAATAACTCAGGCACACTGAGGACTTAGCCCTTTAGGCTGAGAACAACTTAGCAGGTGCTGTAAAATTCTCTTGTCCAAGGAAAAAGCTAGATTTGACATCAATATGAAATATAAAAATATCACTTGAAAACTATTTTGTGTTTTAATAGGGTAGGTGGGAAAACATTGTTCTGGAAGGAGCTAAGAGGACTGCTGGGCGTCTGGAATCCCATTTCTCATTGGATGTTGGGTTTTAATCATTTGGTCAGAGATTCCCTTTCAGTTCTTTTCCAAATTTGAATCCTTGCCTGATGATACTCTTGAATTCCATTAATGCTAAGGCCTATCTGTCTTACTTCTAATATTATAAATTAACCAATTATTAATATATGTAGCCTAGACTCAGCTCTCATGGGTTTGGGAAAAATACATAATTTTAAATGTAATTTCTTTAAGTTGATTTCCAGAGGTATGTGTTGCAGGTAACTAACATCAGCTATTGTTAGTTAGCATGTTAGAATTAGTATGACTTCATATTCCACACAGAGAACATATGATCTGCAGTTCAAGTTTGAGGAAATTCTTTCTCTAGGGTTTTCTTGTATGGACCTTCCAGAAGGTTCTTTGAGTTA